TGAGTCATCCTTTGTGCCTTGAGGTTTCACTTGTTCTGAGGCAATTTCCTCCTTATCTGATGATACAGAAAGAGGCTCTGGAGAGACACTTTTTATCTTCTCAACGTGGTCATTCTTTCCTTCTTCCAAGTTATCCTTTGTGTCTGGAGGTTTGACTAGTTCTGAAACAATCTCTTCCTTTACAAAAGCAGTTGTTTCTTGTTCGGGTTTGGTTTCCTCCAAGAAAGACATCCCAAATAGACCAAACCCAGTTTTAGATTTGTTACTATCAGAACTCCCACCAAGTGAAAACACAGAGGAAACGTTGAAACCTTCTGATTCAGGTGGTTTAGAAACTGGTGATTGTGCTTCTGATGCTTGTTGGCTTTGTCCACCAAACATCGAAAACAGTCCTTTTCCTGTTATCTCTGAACTGCTGGGTCTTGGTGGTGTAACAGTTGGCCCAGGTGGGCGTACTCTAGGACTAGTTTGAGACTGGGCACCAAGACCACCAAACTTTGAAAACAAACCTGCTCCAGGGGTTTCTTTATTTGTAGTAGAACCAGGGAGGATGCCACCAAATATAGAAGATCCAGTAGAAGGTGCCCTCGGTGTAGCACTACCCATAGGTTGACCTCTGGGACTGGGTGGTTGCTGAGGTGCAGATGAACCAAACATGGAGAACAGACCCTTTCCTGGAGGTTCTTTGGGTGGAGGACCTCTAGGTCGCACACTTCCAACAGTTGGACCTCTTGGAGCAGGTGATGCTTGACTACTGGCTCCACCAAACATGGAGAATAAACCTTTTCCCTGTGGCTCTTGTGGCGTTGGTGTTGTTTCTTTGGATCCAGGTGAAGATGGGGTACTTGACCCACCAAACATTGAAAGCAATCCTGTCCCAGGAGCGTCTTTGGCAGATGAGCCAGGAAGAATACCACCAAGTAATGATATACCAGGGGAGGAAGTCTGCTGTGAGTTTGGAGTAGAGCCACTAAATAAAGAAAATAATCCTTTACCTGCTTGTTCATCCTCAGGTTGATCAACCTTGCCAGCAGAACTGTCCTCCTTGGAAACTATTATTTCCTCTGTGAGAGGTTTGACAGGACTGGGCTTAGGTTCAGACAAGGAGACATCCTTTTGAGTT